AAAAACAAAAAATGAATGTGCTATTTTGGATACAGCTGGAAGCCATTAACAACTCTGAGACCATCTCAGTAACCCAGTTAGAGGGTGGGTGGCCTGGCAGAGCTCCTAGATCCATGTGTGTAATCACAGACTTAGCACTGGGAGGGGCCTTATTTCCACCTCCCACCCAGTGTAGAAATCCTCTCTTCAACTCTTCAGTCCCTGCTTGCAAGCTTCCACTGATAGCCCATTCGCTGCTTCACAGGACAGCCCATCCCTTCAAGGGCAACTTCAATTCCTGAAAGTTCTTCTTGGCAAAATTCTACCCTTTAAGTTCTAGCTCTGCCCTCTGGTATCACAGCACACAACAGTCCTACTAATGGAAACAAACTATCACTTGCCTCCAATTCTTGCCTCCTCGTGGCCAGATGACACATTTCTGCAAACCATCCCTCCCCTTTGGTGGTTTGCAGACCCCTCCTGCACCTGCTCACTCTCTGGACTGTACATGTGGTAGAGTCCCTTCTGGAGACTGGGGCCCAGACTGAATACACTCCCAGATTGAAGGGCACCAGTACAGTGTCATCTAGGGGAACTTTTCTTTCAGGAGCTTTTGAGAGAAAATCTTTGCAGGGGAGATGCAGCCCTTTTTAGATTCTGTCACTAGAGCATCTACTCTACCCCATCCCCAGGCAAGCTTTTGGCTCCAGAAGACTAGCCTACTAGCTAGTGGTAGCTGCAATAGCAGTAACAAAGCCAAAATGGAGGAAGGAGAGAAGAACGGACCTCTCCTGGATGCTCAGCAGGGGAGTTCCCAGCTTTCCACCAAGTGTTGAGGAAGATGGGAAACAATCACCCATCATGACCCCACATCTAGGCCTAGAGGAACCTCTATGACCAAGACAAAAGATCATTTTCATTACATATTCCCCTGTCCAAAAATCTTCCATTGCATCCCACATTCTGCACAAATACAGACACTCGAGCTTCCCTTAACCCGGCCCTGCCCTGTCCATCCACCATCCTCCCACCAGGCTCCAGAGTGGAAGCTCTGCCCTGCAAGCCAACCTTGTCCCAGCTGTTCCTGACTCCAAAGCCCAGCTCTCCTTGTTTGCCCTTCCTTGAATACTTTTCCTTCCTCCTATCAGGTCATCTGAGAGATTTTTTTTTTTCCTGGGGTAGCTACTACAGAGCAGCTGAGAAACCAGCACTCTCCTGCCATTGACTCAAGATTAAATTTCTGGCCACTGGAGGTGGGTCTTTCCCCAGAGTTCTCTTCTTCAATTAATTGAATGTCCGAATAAACACAGGAATCAGCCTCTTGTTTTTGCTCTCAGCAGGTTAAATGCAATAGACGGTCTTTGTTGTTCTTTTTGTCTGAGGAATGTCCTAATTACATCTTTGCTTTCATTATATGGAGGGGATGCGGGGTCAGCCCAGGCTCTGGCTTTTAGAGATTAAGAAAATGAACAGTTGACCTAACAGAGTCACCTCATATAGAAGCTGATACCACAGGTGTAATTTCAACCTCATTTTGTATTCCCAGCTGTGCCTCAGATCAACTGTGATGTCAAAGCTGGAAAGATCATTAATCCTGAGTTCATTGTGAAATGTCCAGCAGGATGCCAAGACCCCAAATACCATGTTTACGGCACTGACGTGTATGCATCCTACTCCAGCGTGTGTGGCGCTGCGGTGCACAGGTGCGTAGCTCTGAGCTACTTCATAACTAGCACTCAGGTGTTGACAGGGAACCCCAGGTGCAGAGTTGTCATATTTACCAAGCAAAAATGTACAAATTGAACTGAGCATCCTACATTTTATCTGGCAACCTTTACCCTGAAGGGATGACCCAGAAGCCAGGCATGGTCTTACATGTCCTTGTGTGGCATTCTGTAGAAGGGACAACTGACTTCTCCTTATGTCCCTATCTCCTTGATGGGAAGGGGAGGCGAATTCTACTCTTTCACGTTCATGACAAGGAAACCAAGGTTCTTGATGATGTAAAGCATTTTTTTCTACCTGTATGTGCTGAGCAAGGAAATGATAGGGATATGAAGGAGGGAGGCCCAGAAGTTTGGAGAAAAAAACATCACAGCTCTGGTGATGGCCTGGAGACAAATGGGAAGAGGAAAAGTGAGAAGGAGGGGCAGGTGGTGTCATTTGGTCAGCTGTTGCTCTGGGATCCAGGAAGGACGAAGGCAGCGTGACATGCTTGGGACTGAGTTGCTGCCTCAAGGAGGAGAGGCAAGTGACCTTCCCAGAATCCTCAGACCTCTTTGGCTCAAGTTTGGAGTCAAAACCCACTGAAGTGCATGTGCCACAGACTTCACCTACGTCATCCTATTTAATCCTCACAACAATTCCTCCGTGCAGTATCTGCTACTGTTATACACATCTCGAAGATGTGGATAGGTTGAACAGCGTTTCTAAATGTCATGCTATTAACAAACATCCAAGTGGGGACTCGAACCCACGTCCAGCCTGCTTCAGTGCCTGTGCTCCTAACTGCTGCCCAGTGTGGCTTTGAGACGTGGTTCCTGAGTCAGTGCTCAGCTGCTGGATGAAGTTTCTGAATTATTCGGGCTTCTGGTATCTTTTTTCTTTGTTTGCACATAAGTCAGTTGATTGTTCAGTTGTATCTCTACCAGAAAGAGAGGGGAAGATGTAAAATTCATTTCTTTCAAGATGTCTAGTCAGCAGACTGAAATTTGGGAAAAGCAAAAAGAAAAGAAACTATGTGTAAAATAAGGTTTAAGAATTACTCGTAGCTTTTGTTGGCCGTACTACTCTTTTCTCCACTACTGCAGAGGGGTGGTGGCCAGCTGTTTCTTCAGTGGGAGCAGGACTACGAGAGGGCTATTAAAAATAAGTAGCAGAACGTTAAAGAAAAAGGACATCGAAAGCTCTTCCTCAACTCCAGACTATGGAAGAAAATATTTTGCTTTCAACCTGAAGTCAATTTTAGGCAAAAAAGGAGGAGGTGTACAAATGTATACACATACCTGTGCACCGATACACATGTGGATGCCCCCCCAAATGTTTGCACACACGTGCTTGCCTCCCACACGTACACACACACACACGGGCATGCTCACACACACATTCCTACACACACGCATGCACGCCCATACAGCCCACCAGCACCCAAATGTTTGCACACACGTGCTTGCCTCCCACACGTACACACACACACATGGGCATGCTCACACACACATTCCTACACACACGCATGCACGCCCATACAGCCCACCAGCACCGTCAGCGCTCTCCGGTCTGTGTGCGTGTAGTCACTCCAGTGTCTGTGTAGACACTGACATCTGCTGCAGAGGCCGAGCCTGTCTCAAGTTTGCCTGTATTTTTCCAGTTGTCATCCTAGATGGTTGGCACTTGCTTCCTCTGGCACTTGCTGGCTCTCTCTTGACCTTCCATATTTCCTAGGCAGAACTGAGTAAATTTGACCCCTCCAAAGATGTCATCAAAATGACGAGTAATTCCTTACGCTATGATTCTCTCCATCTAGCATCATCTCAGCCCTGTGAGAGGGCTCTTAGAATCCCCATTTATTAGGAGAGGAACTGAGGCACAGGGGATTTAATCAAATTGCTAGTTAGTTACAATTAAGGATTAAAACTTATGTCCCCTGACTTCCAGCCCAGAGCCCAGATGACACATTTACATAAGAACTGGGGAGCCCCAGCACTGTGTAGTGGACAAAGCGAGGACTTATGGGAGATATAGACTTTACAATAGTCAGAGCTGGGAAAGGCTTTGTGAGGGACAGACATACCCCTAGGGAGAAAATAAGAAGGGCATTGACAGGACCAGGGCTCTGCAATCCCAGTGTTTGGCTTGGAGCATAGGAACTTGATGGGAAAAATATAGATGAGGGTAGAGAGGCAGAGGAAGAGAGCTTGAATGTTTCAAAAAACAAGATTTGATGCTTGAGCAACCAAGTGACGTGTGGCTTCCTGGACCAGTGGCTGATAGAATGGAAAAATATTTGGAGAAGTATCCATGGGAGGGTGAATAGAAATCTTTGGGGGGAAACAGATAGGAATTCTGGATACTGTTAGTTTTGTTTTTTACAAACAGAGTGAGTCTGTTTTCAGAAGGCAGGATTTTAAGACATAGAGAATATGAGTAGAAAGTACATTGGGGACCTACGATCATTGTCCTGTCAGAGTCCCCCACAGTCAGAACTGGGAGACTGGAGAGAGCATACTTTGGTTCAGAAATTCAGATTAATTTGGATTAAAGGGTTTAATAGTCATATGCTATATCATGCTCAGATGTCTTATTACAAGCAATTCCCTGATTCCTTCAATCCAAAGAGATAAAGAACTTATCTGAGGCATCATATTTTGCCTCCGTCTTATCCTAAACTAATCCCTGTATTTAAAGTAGGACCAAATGTGGGCAGAGGAGACACTTCCCTGAGATGGAACCATGATCAGGCCATCTAAGTGCAGAGCACTCTTCCCACTGATTTCTGACCAGATGCTGGCCCATAGAGCAGCAGCCATTCAAACCCTGGCCATGGTGGACTGTCCCTTCTCTCTGAGCCAAGGTACTGACCTCAGCTTATTCCAGTCCCCCAGTTCCAGGGTCAGGAGGAGGTGAACATCAAGGCCACGCTCAGTACCACGCAGCCTGTCTGAGGAGCACAGAGAAGTGGAGCTGATTTGCTTTTTCAGAGAATATACACAAACTGCCTACCCTGAGTGATACAAATGAGGTCACATTTACATAAACTCTCCAAATCGCCATGGCGCTGGGCCCCCTGCCGCCTCCAAGTGGAACTGCAGCCTCTCGCCGGCTCTCCCTCGTCCTCCCCTGGTATCTCCTACGTGGGTCGAGTCTGCCTTGCATTCTGCCTCCTGAACTGCTGGTGGCTCCTGGAGTTGACAGACCCCTGACCTCCCCAGGATCTGCCCTGGGAATATCCACGCCCTGCAGTTAGGCACCCCCACAAGATGAGGCTTCACTCTCTGCCCCAACAGGAAAGTCTCATGACAACACAATCGTTCTGCATCTACACCTGTCCCAACGTCTGGGTTTTCAGTCCTACATACCCTCACAAGGGGTATGCTCCCTGTTCCCTATAAACAGCCTGACAGAAGCTCCAAGCGGGGCAGAAGGCGTGGTGGGGGGAGCTTCCCTCACTCTGAGTGGTAGCCACAGTGCTGCTGACTCTACGATTCCTCAAAAGCAGTTCACGGCATAATGAAATATAAATCCAGAATAACTCCTCTGGAGGACGAGAAAAAGGGAAGAGTTATTTCCCTTTTATCCATTAATTATACTTAAAGGGACCATGGGGTAATTTAAAATATATATATAATTAGAATTTTCAGCCTGTGCCTGTAATGTGCTGGTAAATATTTAACAATCAGCTCTCCAAAATTGGGAGAGGGGGCAATTTCCACAGTGTAAATACCCCCACCATTGGTGACTTCAAGCTACCAGTGTCAGGTCAACCAGCTTGCACGATCCTGAAAGCTTAGCGATTGGCTCTCACAAGCCGGTGTAAGTGGGGCCTGCATACCACTCACAGGCCTTCTTACATGGAAGTATAAAATGCTGGCCTCCCCACAAGAAAATTTTCTTTTCCATTTAGTTTGGATGCAAAATTAACTCCAAAAATGTTTAAGAAATAGTAGAAGATGGAACAAAATCAGAGTCTATGACAGTTATCAAAAAGAGAATAACAAATGCTGGAGAGGATGCAGAGAAAGGGGAAGCTTCCTCCACTGCTGGTGGGACTGTGAATTACTGCAGCCATTATGGAAAACAGTGGAATTACCTCCACTCCACAACCTGTAGGTTTGCTGGGAGGACCAGTGAGATACCATATGTGAGAATTATTTTAAAGCAATGAAGTGCCTTACATGTCAAGTATTATTATCACTTTCTTCTCTTCTGGGCCACAGGGAAGTTGAGTGTTGAAAGGTGTTGACGGAAGGGAGAAGGGCAGGAAATGGCCCTCTCATTCCCAGAGGGAAGGAAGGGTGAGGATGGGAACAAATCCACACACTTTCTTATCCCCCATGCCAGAAATGACAGATACCCAAAAGAGCCATGTTAGGCTCTGGGGCACGGAAACGACAATGTGAAAGTGCTGTTTACGTACCAAGATGGAGTCCCGGCCTAACACAGAAGGAAACATGTATGTACGTCAGTCTCCGTCACATCAGGAGCTAAAACCTTGCAAAATCCTAGGAATCAAAGAAACAATTTCCAGTCTTTGGGAGACTCTTCTTAATGAGCCTAATTTAGCTGCATACCTTCCATCTTGGGCCAAAAATAAAAGGAATCATGTACTTTTAATAATTTCATACCACCCTTTGAAATAATTGGATTCATTCTGTGATGTCACAAAACCAAGTTGGAAATTGTCAGGAAAGAGATTTTACTTAAAAGAACTAATGGGGGGCCGGCCCGGTGGCGCACTGGAGAGTGTGCCACTTGGGAGCGCGGTGGCGCTCCCGCC